GGCAGATCCCACCATGGAGTTGATTGCCAGTCTCGGCATGGGGAATAACTACCACTAGCTGCCCAGCTACTCAACCAGGCCCAGTCAAGTTCATACAATAACATAACCACCACAATTCCACTCCTTGTCAACTTGGCACCTGTACAGATCTTCAGTGGGTGGTATCTGTACAGGTCTCCTCCACTGGGTGACTCCAGTCCCCTAGTTCCTGAGTGGTGACCTCACCCACTTGGCCTGGCGGGCCCCATTCCTTCCCCTCACTTTTAGGCAGTAGCTATGGCTCCATCCCACTGACTCACATGGACAAGCAGCCCCACACTCCAGAACCAAGTTGGTGACAGTCTGGCTCTTTGAAACCTAGGGGTGTGTGGTGATTCCACCCCCAAAGGCCATAGTCCTACCCTTAAGGCTGAGGCAGCTCTGCTTCCCATTTCCTTGGTCTCTCTGCTTCTGCCAATTAATGCTGAAGGCAACCCACTCTGCTGGAAAACTTCCTACCCAAAAAGCACTTGGCTTTCTTGCTCCATGGGGTGGCCAACCTGCTATACCATCTGTGATAGTTGGAGCTGTGTGTCAACTTGGCTGGATCCCAGTTCTGTGTGGTTGTTCCCATGATGGGATCAGATGACTGTGTTCTGAGTGGCCAGTCTGCCCAAGGGGAGTTTCCCTAGGGGTGTGGCCTGCTTCCAAGATATCCAGGGACATCCTGGAAAGAGCCGCATTCTTTGAGGGATTGGAACCCTGGTGTGCGGACTACAGACTTCTGTGAGTGAGCAGCCCACCGCTTGGCCTGGAGATCTTGGATTCGTCTTTTGTTGGAGTCAACAACCAGTGTACTGCCTGCCAGCCTTGAATCTCTCGGCCCCCCTGTGCTTGCAGAAGCCAAAGCGGCCGCCAGCCCATCTCCTCCAGAGACTTGGACTTGTTGGCTTGGACTTGTCGGCTTCTATACGCTTGTGAGCCATTTTCCTAAAATAAATTTCTCTCTCTCTCTCTCTCTAAATATATATATATATACACTTTGCTGGTTTTTGTGTTTCTCTAGAGAACCCAATCTAACACACCATCTCATGCCAGTCTCTTTTACTAATTAATGCCGCAAGGCAACCCACTCCACCAGGAAGCTGCCTATCTAATGTCACCCAACTTTCTCCTCTGTGGGCTGGTAAGCCTGCTGCTGTTCAATGCTGGTCTCTGGGCTCTGTTACTGCCATCTCTCATGCTGGTCTCTTGGCTCTGCTCCTGCTGTCTCTCATGCTGTATGCTGGGGTCTCTCTGCCAGGGTCTCGGATCAAGGACGCACTCTACTCCTGTTTCCACATTTTAGGTATCGGTCAGAGCAGCACCCCACTCCTGGTACCACATTTTGTTCTGGTTACCTAGTGATGCTCTGACAAGAATATACCACAAATAGGATGGCCTTAACAAATAGTAGTTTATTCTCTCACAGTTTGGAGGCTTTAAGCCCAAGTTCAAAGTGTCAGGCTCTAGGAGCTGTGTGAAAGCCCCTCAACCTTGGGCTTTAGCTCTGCCTCTTGCTCCCAGCCCACTGAAGCAAAAGGCATCTCCTTACTCAGGCAGCTTCTGGCTGCTAAGGCTAACAAGCTCAAGGTCGACAAATAAATGGTTCAGTCCTGATGTTACCAAACCACACGGCAGGCTATTACTTCAAGTCCATTTTAAGTCCCAAGGTTGGCAGAGCATGTCAGGCTGCTGAACAATGACATGGCTACATGCAGAGTCCAAGTGTGCCATAAGCTAGAGACCATTCCCAAAGCTGCTTCTTATATACCAGAAGCAGACCACATACCCAAAGCAGCTACTCAGCTGCTTGTGGTAGATTCCACCATGGAGTTGAATGCCAGTCTCATCATCATGGGGAATAACTACCACTAGCTGCCCAACCACTCAACCAGGCCCAGTCAAGTTGACACACAAACATAACCACCACATCACCTTATTTGGGAAGGCTGCCTGCATGAGTGAGAGATGATATGGGAATCATCCAGAATTACACAATAGGAGGAGGGAAGACTTTTTTCAGGCTTGTGGGACAATGAAAGTGAGGTAATGCAGTGATTTAAAACTCTTTGAAAGTCTCTTAATTTAGTATATGATTTAGGCTAATGATTGACTAAAAGGCAACTAAAAAATCCCTTTCCTACACAATAAATAGCTTACACCACTTTGCTTTCAAAGCTATTTGAGTTTCCACTAGAGTCCTTATGAATACTGAAAATGAAAATTGAAAATTAGTGCTGCAGAGAAAATGTCAAAGGGAAGATTCTCTTAACCAAAGCATAAATTCACTGCCATTGAGTTGAGTCGACTCAATGACTCCTTGGATTTCTGAGGTGGTATCTCTACAGAAGTAGATTATCCAATTTTCTTTCAGAAGAGTAGCTGGTGGGTTTGAACCGCCGGCTTTCTGGTTAGCAGTCAAATGCTATAGGAACTATGCCACCAGAGCTCCCGACCAAAGCACAGGCAAGCTAAAATAATAGCTAATGCTCATAAAATGTTTACTGTGAATCAGGCACCATTCTATTAATCATTTAATTTTCTCAACAATGGTGTGAGCTCACCCTCATTATATAGATGAGGAAACCAAGGTACTGAAAGGTTGGTTAAATAACTTCCTTGAACTCAGACAGCCAGTAAGTTACTGAACTGAAATCTTAAGTTAGACATCCATTCTAGAATTGCAATCTAAATCTATTCTCTTATCAATGGTTCTAGAGTGTACTTTGAAAAAAAGAGAGAGAGAGAGAGAGAGCATAAACTCTGAAACATACTGTTAACTTATAAACTATGATGGCATTTGAATATGATGTATGAAGATAAATAATTAAATAATCTCCTCCTCTACTTCATCCCTACTGCTTATTCCTTTAGCTTTCCAATGACACCCACAAGTATTAGTTATTCTCTTGGGTTTTTTTTTGATTTGGGTGAAGGTTTACAGAGCAAATTCACTTTCCATACAGCAGTTCACATATACTGTCTCATGACATTGACCACAGTTTACCACAATGCAACAGCTCCCCTCCCACTTCCTCCCCATAATTACCTCTTCCCTGTGTCCATCCCTCCATGCAC